ACCCATCGCTCACTAAAAGGAATTGATGGTGATGGGTGCCCACAGCAGTGCCATTTCACCCACAATGGCATTTCTTACGGGGAGGTGAGCTATATCCAAGTTGTATTGCAATGTATTCATCCCAAAGAGCTTCAGTACCCACTGAGGAGGTTCTGATGGCACTCAACGTATTGATGTGCTTATTTCTTGCATGTCTGATCCAGAAACACTCCAGCACTGATCCTATTTTAGTTCTGAAGAGCACACAAAATTCCCTAATGCGTACAGATCTAGGGTTATCAGATCCAAAAYGGAGTAGTTCAAGGAGCAGCATGAAGAGGGGATACTCACCAGACATCCACCATGACTACCCACAGCAYATAAACCCCACCAATAAACCAACAAGCATGGGCTAATCCAGTGCTCTAAAGATAATCCACAGCTCACGATGYAAGAAATTCAAATATGATGAACAGATGATAACTGACGTCAGTCCTTTGAAGTCTTTTTCTTTTTAAAGGATCTTCTAAATATTCCCCAAGCCTTCATTTTTGTAGGACATTTTTATACCCTGCACCAGAAATAACCTAAATATTTGCATAACACGATGCAGGCATTAAACCACAGTCCCCCCTCCAGATACCATCTCTGGTGTATGAGTGTGAGGGCTCTCACCACCCTGCAAACCCTGCAGACATCACCACTGTCTCTACTTTGTGTTCGAGTCCCTTCAGTACTGACATTTTCCAGAGAGAACAATTAGGACAGCAATGATCACCACTGCATAGGGAGCCTATTGAAACTGCCAGTTTCCATCATTTACCACACAGGCCCCAAGGGCTGAGTCACAAATGGAACCAAACCCAAGTATGACCTAGGAATCAGCTGGTGAACTTCCTGAAAACAGGAAAACAAAGTAAGAGAAACCAAACAATCCTCCCCTCCATGTACCAAGACAWGCATACAGTGCAACCCTTGCAAAGCTCTCTGGAAGACCTACTTCAATACATAAAAGGTTCATGTGGAGCAAAAAATCTCCCACCAAAAAAGCAAAAAAAACCCCCATAGTTTACTGGCTATTAAGGAAAGTAATATTGTTTGTTTGATCCAGGACAACTGAYACTTTCAAAATCATATTTCTACACCACCAGTACCCTCTTGCACTGCTTGGAAACCCTGATGATAAAAGGTATCTCAGTACAGTAAACCACACTGAGTATTTCCCCTTCCCCTATAAGGTCTCAAAAAAAAATCCATTAATACTTAATGGATTTGGCATGTAGGAGYTACCAGAGAGACCAGGTCCCATCTGGTACTGACAACTGGAAGCTTTTAAAGATCTCCCACACTGTAATCTAGTCCAATTTTTAAATAACACCCTATTGAAAAGGGGAGCTGCCTTAGAACCTGATTTATCTTTTCCCTGCAACTTTTCTTCTTGCTCATTATATAATTACTCGTGAAACTCTGGGATTACTATCAGGCAACTAACCCAGTGGCAAAAACCCAAACATGCTTGTTTTCAGGTGCACCAGCTCCGTGGTATAGCTCACSATGCAACCAGAAAGGCTTGTGCTAAGGCAAGACACAAAACCTCAATTTTGGTAGCAACCAACGTTACCTTCAGGCTACCATGGCTATGGAAATCCTCCCTTTCCTTTCATATTAAGTTTTGCCCCTAACAAAATCAACTCAGGTGCAGTCAGTCAGAAATCTTCAAAGCACAAAAATCTGCAGATGTGTTTGAAACCTTTTTACAGATGTCCAATTACTTATAGCAGAGGACCACACTGCTTGTTACAATACTGGGTGCTACAACTCCATCAACACAAGTAGAATTTTCAGAGAAATAGAGTGTTTAGAAAAAATACCAAATGCTTACAAATAACTGCTGATCTTCCAAATGCATTATCCCAACATACTTAAATTTAACTTCAGCATAACCTAAAGTTAGTAGAAATAGCCTATATATTTTCTCTGCTCAGCAAATTCCTTCACTGTTCCTAAATTTRGGCATGGGATCACCAGCAAAGCAATATTACTAAAGCATAATTTCATGAATGATTCACTCAGAAGAGATCAGTCTTCACAGTCAGTCAAGGAGAAAGTGTCCAGATGAAAACTAAAACTCTGAAAATTAATCTCAGCTGCTCTGMATTCCTTGTTTGCACTTAGAAATTAAATATAATCACTTTAAAAGTAACATACTAGTTTTGATAGAAGGCTCTGGCATATAAACACATTTGGGGGTGAAAAAAGGCTTGAAATCATCTGCTGCTAAATCTTGAAAATTTCTGACAAGATGAGGCAAAGAGAAGGAGGTTTAAGAAAAAATAAATCCAAACCCAACAAACCCTATCCACTGTGTGTGTAATTATYCAACTCAAATCCATCTAAATGGACAAAGCTTTCTATTCCTGGGACCTGGTAATTGACAAGGATAAATTAACTACTGCCTATTTTATTTGGCTTAGGATAAAATGATGAACTCCTCAGTCATTTCCATTTCTAATTTTCCTGATTCCATAATTAAGAGAACATGATTAGACAACTAATCTTCTTCCATCTTGCTGAATCCCAGATTACAAGCAAAGAGCCAAAAACGCAGTAACATTTGAAAATTGATTTTAAGCAATTCAAAAGAAGTTATCCAGCCAAACAACACTCTTACGCTAAAACAAACAATATCAAATCAGAAATAGAAGYCTCAAAATCTTCTGAGTGTTTCCATCCCAAGGCAGGTAATTAAAAATTACTGCTTTTGCTGCATCAAACGTAATAAATATGTATTTTTAGTTACGACACAAGAGGCAGAAAGTACTGGCTTCCAATACTCTATCCAAATTCTAGAACAACTGTTGTTACTTTCTATTTCTTGGCAGATACCAACAACTCCTGTAAGGCAATGATGAATATTAAGCCATTGTGGAAATGAAAGTGCTTTTGTAAATGTCCAAAGGCCAAGAATGTCCATCCGTAAGGCCAAAAGGAGACAGAAAGCAATGTCAGTATTAACAGTCAAGAATATATTCTTTTGTAGTTTTTGGAAATTAACCTGAAGTTTGCATTTCAAGACTACTGTGCCAAAGAATGAGGTTTACAAGAAATAGTTTGCCTTAGGGAAACAACTAYTACAACCCTCAGACTCTAATAAGTCTTGAAGATCTCAAGAAGTACCTTAAATGCTCCCTTCATAATTTGTTCCTCCACCTTTTATGATTCTGACAGCCCCAGTACAACCARATATCACAAGAAAACTGATTTAGAGTCCAAGTACCAGACTAGACACTTAAAATTTACCCCCTTTGGCTTAAGGTACAAGTTGAGAGCAAGGCACACAGAATCTGTAAAGGTTTTTCTARAAACATTAGACACAAAACATGATTTTGGACAATGAGTATATAAAGTACACAATTCTCTCAAGATTTCCGAGTTCCAGTTTTCCAGTTTCACGGTCAGATCGGTCAGATTCACATTTCTACCCCTTCAAATCAAGACATGGAGTAGCTACTTCTGCTGAAGCAGACTGGGCAAACCACAGGGCACACTGCCCCAGAGTTCTCAAGCTAAGCACAAGCCTGCCAAGGCCACTTCAGGAGCTGTGAACCAAATACTTGGGAATTGTCATTGTAATCAGCCAAAACATGGAAAAAATTATAATGCAATAACTCTAAATAGCACTAAACAACTGAAGAATGGATAGTTACTTGTAGTGAGTATTTTGTACTAGAAACGTTTATTCTGAATAGTAAGCAATTGAGCTGTAGAAAATACAGAATGCAGATTTATTACTTTGTTGGGTATAAACTCAATTATAATAACAGTTTTTAATTAAAATTATTTTATTTATCAGCTTGATTGCTCATAATTACTCCTCAATCAATAAGCAATTCAATACTTGGGTTAACTTGATAGACTAATTCAGCAACTTCTTCTTAAGACTGAAATAGATGTCTCACTCACTCTCAAGTGAAACGGGCTGAATTATACCCATTACAAAAGCGTACAGAGGAAACACCTGCATATTAAACTGGAAAACTAACTGGACAAAGTTTCACATTGAATACAATTATGAAAAATAATGGAAACATTCTAAAATTTAGATTTTTTCAGTCGTAGCAGAGGCCACAATAAATCAGTTTTAAGAAGCTGTAGCTTTTAAATATTTTTTCATAAAAATATATATAGGAGAAATCAAACTATTTCCTAACAGAGGTGAAACAAAGCAAAGCAGTTAGAATAGAGGAATGTTTCTCATAACTTGATCCATTTATCTAATTCCCTCTTCATGAAGAATTCATAGCCTCCCAAAATAAACACAACACATTGTAAAAACCTCCACCCCCTAAAATCAGACAGACAAGTTTTCAAGGAAGGTCCAACGCACACTAATTCTCCAAGATACGTACACTTCAAAAGCACAGACAGAAGTGGACAGTGCTACTCAAATCAACTCTTTCTATGACCATACACGCTCCCTTCTAATTTTTYAAGTGCTAAAAGCTATATCTCAAACAGGTGTTTTGTTCCTTGTAAGAGATTTCTAACCAACAAACAATAAGACTCTGCAACATTTCCAATTAGTTCAGTTTTGTTTTAATGATAWGGGGCAATTCTTAGAGCAGACATTGTGCAGCTACTAACTACCAGATAATGAGGTCTATTGGTGTGGTCTTGGAATCCCAATTTGAAATGTAAATTTGAGCCAAGGTAATTAACTGAAAATCCAGAGTATCTGAAAATGCATACTATGTTTTTACTCCAATTTTGCAATACTTCTTGAGGAACTTGGAAAAAGTGAAGTTGATAGAACAGTATCACCAAGATTACAAAAACTAGAAGGAAATAATACACTGCAACAGTGATCCTCATTAAGTAAGTTATTTCATCACAGTAAATATTTAAAAAAGCATCAATGTTTTTTAAAAAGTGTTGAATCCTCCCCCCAAGTATTTGAAGAGAGATAAACCTTTTTCCTTAGTCAAAATGGCTTTTTAAAAAAAGTTTCTCAAAACAACAGCAATAATCAAAAAACATGAATTGTATTTTCTTTAATCCATAATATCTCTAGTGCTGAAGGGCCATCCATGTAAAAAGCAGATTCTTTGGGGACATTAGTCAATTAACTTAATAAAACCCAGTTTTACGAGGATTTATCCTTCCTGCTGCGAGGCGAGTCTGCTCCATTTGAGGTCACTGTTCCATTTATTCCATTTTCTAGAAAAAAAAGATAACATCTTTCAAATACAGTGACATGCTTTATATTTTATTACATTTTTGCAAACAGCATTTTAACTTCTTTTCTGATGTACCTTCTTTGTTAAACCTCTTGATTATCATTCAGAGAGTAACAGTATAATGAAGTTTTCACAAAGTGCAGTATTTAAAGTTTACTACAATAGATCCCACTTTCCTGATCTGGCCAGACACTGAAATGTGTGCATTATATACATCTAGACTGAAAATCAAGACCAGTTATGATATTTTGGAAGATATTCTGTGAAAAAGTAAAGCACAACCTGTAGTGGAGATGAGACAGTTCTGTGAAAATTTGAAGACACAGTATATACACAATTCCCTGCTTCAGGTCTTAATTATTTATCCCACCTATTTCATATGATAATTCTTGCTACAATTATGCTCCTTTGCCTACCTTTACAAGTATTTGATATGTGGAAGGAATCCTTTATATACATTCACAATTTTTAAAGCAACTACTTTAACATACAGAATTAATTTATGTTACGATGAAGGCATTTATTTACAAGCAGATAAGACAGACAGAAGTAAAACCCKGTTTCAGATTTGCAATGAGTATGTGTAGGTGGAAAGAGTTTGAGTACAAGATAAGGCACCTATCTGAGAACACAAAGCAAGCACGAGTCACCAGCTGCAACTCTCTGCTTCTCTCCCACTCCAGGGTCAGCTTAAAGATTGCAAGAGTTTTAATCTGTTCAAGTACCCCAGTGGTGATTGGTTTGCAAAAGATTCCCCAAAACCAACAATGCAAAATCTGTGGATTTTTAGTGCCTACAACTAATAAAATGGAGCAATATGATGCCTTTGTGAATTAAAAGTACCTCTGTTACTCAGTTTCACTACAAGCAAGGAAACAGATGTTGCCTGACAGCAACTGTATTTATAAAACAGATCTAAAGAGCAGAGTGCATAGCCAGCCATAACGCTTGCAGCCCAACATCTCTGCTGACTCATATCACTCTGACTTCAAGCAACACTTGCTGGGTTTTTTTGATGCTTTAGATATATATATATTTATATATTTACAAAAGACTGATGAAATGTGGTTTTTCCACCTGCAGATGTGTTGAAGGTCACCAGAGCTTGGCCAGTTTACAAAAACAGCTGTTGGCCTCCCCCTCTCTCCTACAACACCCAAACGCTCCCATTTGTGCAAACAAGCAACAACCAAAAAAATTTTAACAATCAGAAACACACATGAGCATGAGACCAGACACAGTCAAAGTCTGTCTGACCACATACCGGGCTGTAAATGACACCACCATTTTAAGCCTGTGTAAGGTGGTCTTTTGCTATTTTGAAAATGTTCAAATTATTTTTAAATAAAGAAGCTTACAAGCAATTAACTAAACCCAAACCAGCTAACTGAAATAATACTTTCTTAAACAATTTAGGTAAAACGAAGAACACGAGTCAGCATGTGGCTGGGTACCCCACCTACATCACCAGCAGGATTTTCCTACTGTCAATTCTTACTTTTGGCATAGACTAAAAGTAACACATTTTTATGGTGCCCTGGTTCCCAAAAAAACATTCAACCAAAAAAAGTGTTTTAAACAGTTCAATTGCATGTATTACTCTTTCAAAAACACAGTTTTGCTGCACCCTGTGCAAGTGTTCTGAACAGACAACATAACAGGAGTATTCAAAACAGAAGAATATGAATAAACTGAGTTCTTTTATTTCCATTAAAAAATGAGGAATAAAATTCTTCAGTCCTCAAGACAGGCAGAGTTCAACTATTTTGTGAATTAAACCACAACTCTAGTTTTCACTATTTGTTTACCATTTGTTTTATTTTGTTTTGTTTACTATTGAAGTTGGGCACAACCCAGCAGATTCACCAAATTAAATGAATGAAATAGATTAAGAGATTTAAAAAAGCTATTACATTTCTGACTCCCTAATTAAATCACCATCAAGGCACATATTTTAAAATTATTTGACATAAAATAATAAAATTAAATTGAAAAAGCCTATAATGAACAGGCCCTGAACATGAAGTTCTGATTAAACAAGACAATTACATGGGAAACTACCTTCACTCAAGTATAAAAAAAAATTTCAAATGATTTTTCAGATGAAAAGAAAAACCCCTGACACTATRAAAAGGTAAGTTGTGATAATTAAAACTGATTTAAAGAGAATGCAGCAATACTCCAAAACATGTAACTTGGATAAAAAATAGAAAGTTGGAGGAAATAAAAAAGAAATATTGATTTCCCACCACAAATCTCAGTTCTCAGTGCAAATGGTCTTGACATCCACTACGTTCAATATACCAAAAGTGGAACAGGTTGGTAATACATGTTTGGGAGGAAAGAATAATGCTAAAAAAAAGCTTTTGGAACAACTTCTGCCATTTCAAAAAGRTATAGAAGTTATTCAAGCTAGCAATGAAACCACAAAAGTTGAACTGTTGGTGCAACAGATATACTGAAGTATGGGTATTTCATTTTTTTTTTTTTAAAAAATGCACATATGTTTTTCTTGGAGAAAAGAGAATTCAGTTCATCTTTCATGCCCTTTTCATCAAAAGGGTGGGACATAATCAAAAAGACAGACCAGGACTTATCAGTTCATTTCTAAATGCTTCAACACAGGTTTAGAGTGGTGRGTAGTTATCACTCTTAGAGAACTATCAAACTCTAATTTTCATAAAAACAGTCCAACACAAGACTTTTTATTGGGTGGATCATCAAGCCATCTTTGCCCTAAACCCTCAGAATTTCGTGGCCATGAAAAACAAGCTTGAAATCCACCTCAAGAAAATTTTATAAATAAATGTCTAAGAGAACAGATCTAAAATTGCACCTGTTCCCTTTTCATAAGGGAACAAAACATAAGCATGACACATTTTTGTTCAAATAATGAAATCAAAGATAATAAAAACTGCTGCATTAACTGAAAAAAACAAAAACAAAACAAACCAGTAATTCCTTCATTTGGGCACTTACGGTTGTAAGTGCCCAACAATACATAATGCTTTTTTTAAAAATCTGTTCTTCCTACGATAGTATTCACCACTACTGTTTCTGCAGCTGAGTCATCTCACCAGTTAAACAAAAAATACTTCTTTAGCAACTTAAAGCTGGTTTTGAAAAGCCAAGGAAACAGAAAAATCTACAAACCTCTTTCTTTTCTGGAGGTCTTTCCTTTAGCTGATACAAACTTCTTTTTCACTGACTGAGGCTGAGAAGAAGAATGCTCTCTCCACCTCCGAAGCTGGAAATTAATGAACTTCCACATCATAAATGCTTGAGTCATGCAGATTGAGGCCAGCACACTGATTCTAGAAACAAATAATAGGTAAAGATTTATCAGTAAGTTTGTTTCATTACTCAAACAGAAAAGGAAAGCAGAACACTTCAGGTTTTCTSGCAACTTCCTCCCCCTCCTCCTGGTAACACTCATTTTCTAAGCCAAGGGTTTGCTCACACAGGGCAAGACTGGGCTTAAGCACAGATGATAAAAAGTAGGTATAGACTGATGGTGAAATCTTTGCCCATCAAAACTGGGAAGTACCAGTTTTCTTCCCTGCTGTYTTTCCCAGAATTACTCTCAGGGTACTGGGCAGTAAAAGGTTCGAGTGTCTTGCAGTTCAGTGTATCAATTTTGCAGGCTAATGCTGACATTGCCAATGTTTCAGTAACTTCCTTTTCTGCATTCTTAAGAAGGCCAGGTAGTTGGCTGAACATTGTGAATCATGCAGCAGCAATAGGAGCCATAAAAGGCAGAGAAAGAGGCAGAAATCTTCAACCAGGACCAAAGATGCTCTGGACATAATGCCTTGACCTCTAAGATAAGGGTTACATGCAGCAATTATATCTAGAATTCAATTTACTATCTCTAAAACATTTGAAAGTAGTGTCTGTAATTGGATATTCCTTTTAATTCTAGTTGGGTGAGGTTACAGATTTYTCAGCTCTAGACTGTAAATCAGTTAATTCATTTCATGGTGAAAAAGTGAAAATGTTTCACTGTGCCTTAGAAGTTTCTTACATAAGCTGCTCCTATTGATCCCACTGGTTGCATGAAAACACTCAGTCATTCAGAATTACTGGTATTAGTACCATACCATTTACAGTGTGTACTGAACACAGGTTTACAGCACATAAGCACTGTTTCAGGTTTACTATACCTAACAGCCAGGATATTGAARTTCCCAGTACTGAAATTCAGCTGCTGATCTTCTGCTCTTGCCAGTCCAAAGCCAAAAGTGAGGACTGAGAGAATCAAGGTGAGAAGCCTTCCCAAAACAAAAAGAACTGCCCACAGTGAAAATCTGGAAATAAAACCACACAAACATTAAATAAACTTTCTATTCAAAACACATGCACTAACAATGCAAATGTTATCCTCCCCCATCCAAATTTGCTTGAAATGCAAGAATTTACCTAAATTCATAATTTTGCACCTATCTTATATTATTTTATGAAAACTAATTTCAACTTAATGCAAAGTGCTTTCCAGTACTATTAGAACAAAAGCATGTTACTAGTTCCTACAGAATTGGCTGTACTAGCAAACTATTCTATTCCTTTCTCTACAAAACATTTTTAAAAACACATTAGTACCCATTGAGAGATTTTATTTCATTTTATACTGCTACTAACATTTACTTAAATGGGCTAAAACAAGGTAAAAAGTACTTGGATTAGAAAAATAAAAACTAACACCAATCTGGAGAACTATGGTTGCTTCAGAAACACTGAACTCCCTCATAATTTTGGTTACTGGTTAGTTAAATGCAAAAGGCTTTAAGACAGAAATTACACRAATTTTAAAGACTATTTACCCTTTCTGGTATTTTTCATCACTGAAGTAGAAAAGACGGGATATGTGGAAAAGAAATTCAACGAAGTAATGCAATACCAGAAGAACAAGTCCAAGATGGGTCAGACTATCAAAACAAATAAAACAAACATTCAGACATTTTGTAAGATATTTAGGGCAGAGAATGAAGCCAGCAAAAGTTTACAAWTGACTTACTTCAGGAGATAGGCTCCAGCAATATGAAAGAGGTAAAGTCCAATGTAGACAATCTGGCGAAAGATATCTTCCTGTCAGGAAGAAAAAAGCAAGCACGTGTTATGCACAATGTTATACAGTATTTGTACAAGCTATTAMAATATTTTGTATGTATTACTGTATCATCAGTTCCACATATTTCCTGCCCATCAAATTGTCAGATTGCTACAGAATAAAATGGCAAAATATAAATCAAAGTGAGAAGTTTTCCAAGTGTTGACATCAATTTTAAAAATCCAAGGCCATCCAAAATTCTAGCAAACTGTTGCTGGCAAATATAGAGAATATTGTTATTAACCAGCCATGCTAAACCCCATAGTCACACTTTTAATCAGGTTTTAGCCAGCCCCATTAAACTGAACACTTAATGGAGGTAAAATAATGAAGTGGAAGACACATAGCACAGAGAATGCAGATTGTGCCATCTGTGAACAAAAGAACCAGTGAAGTATGCCAGATCAAAATAAAAATCTGCTTTGGAGTGGTAGCAGAGTACATTCMGTTGTGCTTAAGAAACTCCTTTTTGGAAAGATTCCCTGAACTTCAAGCAAGAATCTTCAGCTTTGTCTTGTATACATGCATTTAAAAAAGGACTAAAATTTTAAACTTGTAAGAGCTATACTATGTTATTCAATATTCAGTATCAAATCCAACAAAACCACAGAATAAAAAACTGTGACTACAGCAAACACCACTTAATACACAAAGAACAAGAAAACAGRTGGAGAAAGACCTACTCTAAATTATCTGAAAGAAAATGAAAAATTAGTTATTTCAGACAAAGACAATAGTCCATACAAATGGTGAATTTCTCCAAGAACAACCAGGACCAGACTCTTACACTTTCACTTTAGAACTGAGGCAAMATTTAAACCTGCCTGCTTACACAAACTGTTAGAGACTGCAGGCCTTGTAGAATAATGCAGGTGAAGACATACATGACTCTACAGGAACCAGAGTGAAGAAGTTCTTTTCTTGTTTATGTCTTGTTTATGTCAGCAGGACAGACAACTAGACCCTGAGTAAAAGCAGCCAGTTCCCTCAAGAGAAGGAATATGGCAAGGAAACCAAGATGGCAGARGTTCAGCTGTGGTTAAAGAAATATCAACTATGAACTTGCTAAAACAAAGTATCACTCTTCAAATTTAATGCAAAAGTCAGAGGGCATAATTTCAAGCAGTGACCAAATAAAAGATTCCTATTCAACATACAGCACTTAGGCCACTTGTGACAGCTTTCCTGATGTTATTTTAAGAAAAAATCTCCACACTTGGCCATGAAGCTACATTTGAGAAGTCACTAACACAATATGGGAACATCAGCTGCAGTGCATCTACAAAATAGTGTTCATACTTCATCTGAGCAGCATAATATTTCACTAAGCCTCTTCTAGGCTCCTGTACAAAGTCCTATGGTTATGTAACACCTATGTTTCATTTTCTTGAATAAAGCAGAGCTGGTAAGAGRGGTGCAGCCTAGTCACAGAGCAACAGTCACAGAATGGTTTGGGCTCCAAGAGCACCTCTACAGTAGTCCAGTCTCTGTGGATCACCTCTACAGCAGTCCAACCTCTACACCGTGGGCAGGGATATCTACCACTYGATCAGGTTGCTCAAAGCCCCATCCCACCCGACTTTGAACACTTCAAATGAAAGCAAAATTCACAGCTTCTCAGGGCAATCTGTTCCTGTGTCTCACCATTGTCATCACAAAGAATTTCTTCAGATCTACTCTMAACCTAYTTTCTTTCAAAATCATTGTTCCTTGTCACTACAGACCCCAATAAAAAGTCTCTCTCCATCTTTCTCACAAACCTCKTTCAAACAGTGAGAGGCCACAGTAAGTTCTCCCTGGAGCCTTCTCTTCTCCAGGTTGAACAAATCCAGCTCTCTCAGCTTGCCTTCAGAGAAGGGGCACTCCAACCTGCTGTTCATCTTCATGGCCCTCCTCCAGACCTGCTCAAGCAGGACCTTCTTGAACCTTCCTTGTGCTGGGGACCCCAGAGCTGGATGCAGCACTCCAGGACTGGTTTCACCAGAGCAGAGGGGCAGAATGCCTTCCCTCTATCAGCTGGCCACTGCTTTTTATGCAGYCCAGGTGCCAGCTGGCTTTCTGGGGTGCAAGAGTACACTGCCAGCTCATGCCCCATTCTCATCCCCTCGGTATGCCCAAGTCCTTCCAACCCATTCATCCCCAGCCAGTACTGATTTCAGGAATTGCCATAATTCAGGTGCAAGACCTTGCACTTGGCCCTGTAGAACTTCATGAGGTTCACACAGACCCAGTCCCCAAGTCTGCCCAGATCCCTCTGGATGACACTTCTTTCCTCAAACAAACCAGCTTGGCATCATCAGCAAACTTGTCTGTGTCATTGATGGAGATGTTTAACAGCACCAGTTCCAGCACAGACGCTTGAACAACACCACTTATTCCTCCTTTTCACTTGGACATCGACTCACTGACTCTAAGTGTCTGAGTGCAGCACCCAGCCAGTTCCTTATCCATCAAAYCCATCTCTTTCCAGTTTAGTGGTAAGAATTCTGAAGGAACCCTACCAAGAGCCTTAACAGAAGTGCAGGTGGATGACATGAGCGKCTCTTTCCTCATCTGCTGATGCATCACTCACCACAGAGGTCCACTAAGYTAGTCAAGTATGATTTGCCCTTGGTGAAGCCATGCTGAGGGGCTTACAACACTTTCGAGCAGGAAAATGTCTATGCAAAATGATCTGAGCCAAAACATTCAAAGAGACTACTTATTTTGGTCCAGGAAGGCACAAAGTGTGCTACAAAAAATCTACAGCAAACTCAGTTATGAGAACCCAAAGAGAGAAAATCCTTAGTGGAAAAATAATGCTGTTGAAAAATAGAGCACTGAAAAAAAATTCAACACATAACTACCAGAAATTCTGCTGAGGGTAATGCTATTTAAATCAAATCCCAGACTTTCATACTCCTTTGATTTATAGAATTATTCACAGTTTATATTCTACACCTATATCATGATTCATGAAGCAACTGTGATTTCAATGACACTATTCAGACTATCAATTCTGAGAAACAAAAAAAAAAAGGAGTTGAAAAGGAAATCTTACATTCATTTGCTCTAGGGAAAATTCTTTCAGTGGATGAGAAACACTAGTAATTTTTATTTACACAACAGATATTTAGCAATTTTACTGCAATTATAAATACAGGATTTAACTAAAAAGAAAAAAGCCACCTTGCTCTGGAGTTACTTCCATTTATGCTTTGAACTTACTTTTTTAGTTTTCTGGAAGTAAAGTTCTGGAAAAGCATGAAACCAGTATGCCAGCTGTAAGATGTAGAAAAACTTCATCTGAAACCTGTACAATACAGCAAGAATTGAAGAGCATTACTTAATATGAATGAACTTAAAACATTTCAGAAGCTACTAGTGAACTCATTTTATCACTGTCTCTTAGAGAAAAAAAATACAGTTCCTTCCTGCCAGCCAACTCTAAATTAATATTTTTTAAAACAAAATCATTAAGACAAGGCTTGCAAAAATTTAATTCTTTAAGTGATAGTCCACAGAAAATACATGCTACAAGTTTTCAAAAAATCAAGAGCCCATRTAAATATGACCCAAAATACATAAGTGACTAATAGAGTTTTACAAACTATTTATCCTAAGCAGATTGTACATGACACACCCTAGGCTTAAAACACTCCCTCCTCTCCCCAGCAATTCTCTAAGGAAGAGGCCTTACGGAATCAGAGTGTGCGGATAGTCCCTCCACAGAGAGGTTGGATCTGATATATAGTTCTCCTGAAAAAAGAAAAAAACAAAAATACCCAATAAGCCCTCGAAGATGTTACTTTCTAGTCAGAAATACTGGACCTACATGCGTGCATTTATATATATCCAATTGTGTACATACAAAAATGAACACATCTACATAGGCAAGTAAAAACTGCAGATCTATAAATTTTCCCTTTTTTAAAAAAACCCCCAAGGAATCACAAATAAACAAAACCAAACCAAACCAAAAACAAATCCCCGAAACAAAAGACAGTTGCACTGGCTTAGGAAAACAAACAGCAACCAAAGAAACCAAGTAATCATTCAAGACAGAATGTCCTTATGAGATGGAAATTATTCCAGCATAACTACAGCCACAAGTCTTCTCTTGTGAACTGCTGACAAGCTTTGRACTTAATGAAGAGAAGGAAAGCTTTTGCAGGAGTTATTATGTTAAAATAAAAAACCCAAAAAAGTCACACTGTTCCTGTTCTGTGAAGCTAAGCTCAGACACATCCAGCCACTGGCAAGGAGTATGTCGCCTAAAGGCACACACTGACCTGAGGCTACAGCAAYCTGGCCATGTTCCCATTCCCTAGGCTCCAGAACGCTATGAGTGGTGTTTTTCTCTAAACTTTTCTGTTAATAAACCAGCACAAAAAAACCCTACAGAGAATTAACTTCCATAATGGAGTTAAATGGTTTTACCTTATTCAGTTTGACAGTAAATCAACTCAAGACTGAGCAACAATAACACTACTGACTTTATACTCAGTGACAACTACAACCCACACAGAATCCTTAACCTTGTCCCCACTTTAAAATTAAAACCAGAAAAAAACAAAAAAATAAGCCCAAACCATATTTATCATCAGCATAAGTGAATTTTTTGAAATTTCATAATACAAACAGAAGAGAAAGCATACTTACAGAGACAAGAATACTCGTTCCCCAAACACAGGAGAAAAGGTAGAATGCACTAAGTTGTCCAGACTCATTGAACTTGCTATGCTTTGTTTTTGAAAAGTGCATTTTCCTGTTAATTTTCTGAAATGAAAGTCCACTGTTATTTATATGTTGCAGTACTYAACATTCATTTGGTAACTGCATTASAATRTYTAAAASTTTTAATGCATATTTTTACAGTTAAAAACTTCAATGCAAAAGTTTACTTTTGAGTTAATAGTCTTAAAGTCTAATTAAAACATGACAATTATCTTAATGGAAGGAATTAATATTTTGTACTTACATCCAGTACATACTCCTGAATTATAGCATGTATGATTATTGCTACAAGCATGTAAAAGAAAATTGTAGCCAAGTCTTTGATGCCATAGTAATAGAGAGAGATTGTTTCTGCAGATTGTTCTTCTAAAAGACAAACAGAATTAACTGTTAGGCACCAATACTGTTTAATGGTTAATAAGGTTATTTCTCAGACTGAAACCTTTCAGACAGAAATAGCTTGTGGTCAGCTGAACAAACAGAAGTCGAGTTAAACTGCCACCATGAACGAGGTCACTAGACTGTTTACAGTTATCTTCTCCATCATATCACAAACCCAGTTTGACTCTGGAAAGGCGCTRTAAAACGAAAAATTTAAGTTCACTGATGAAACTTACCCAAATACACTGAAAGTGGACAATATTAAGATGCTAAACTATCAACCCACTTTGACTATTAAAGATTGTCACTTGCAAAGCCWGAGTAAGAATTCACAAGAACTTATCTACCAGTCAGATGGTGGTTTAGCACTAATGATGAATCCAGCAGAACAGAAACATTGCCTCTAACCTAATAAGTCAAAACAGTGTTTTAATAAAAATAAAGTGAAATCCTTGAAAGCTGCTTATTATCTATTCAAATTGACAAATTCCCTTCCTGTCAAGTCTAGGAAGCACAGCACACTAATAATGTCTGATACAATGTCTCATAACTAACCTTCAGCAAGATACATACCTGTGGCAGGAATGGTAACATTGTACTGAAGTGTAACAAAAATGACGGCAGCTTTTGCTGTAATCTGAAAGAGGAAAAACCAGAATTGCTATAAATTCTCATGGAAATAAACTACATTGAACTGAAAACACTTGCCCATAGTTTTGGCACACTTGCCCAGCACGTTTGTCTCCTCCCAAAAAATTGATCAAGTCACATTATCTCACCACTGCACCTGACTTTCCAAAGGCAGCACACATTGCATGGTCTCTATACGTTTGTTTACAGAATACTCAACCTGACAAATAAGAGGTCCTTGAAAACGCTACTTACAGACAGCCTTTCCTACAACAATAAAATGAAAAAAACAGGCTACAGTTCTGTCCTCAGTCCGTACTGTATTATTAGATTAACAGAATGTACAATATCATGGAGTCCCTAGACCATTCATTATGCATTCAGCAGTGGCTGAGAATAGGCTTTATTTAAAAGTACTTTTCTTATTTGAAAAAAGTCAGTTATCATGTTCATAAATCTGTGGGTGATCTGAAAAATGTGGACAGGGAAGGAAAAAAGGCATAAAGAATAGAAAACAATTTCAGGCCAGTGGGATACCAACTCAGCACAATTAGCATTCTTATGACCCTGGGGATTCTACGGCAAGAAGCATAAAACAAATGAAATTAAATTTAGCAACAGTGGTACTAYCCCTTTATGATGGGCTGTAAGTAACCACAGAATGAATAAAAGCAATTTGAAGAGCAGTTCTTTGTCCTAATGGCTTTCCTTGGGAAAGGGATATTCTACCYTCACAATAAATAATATGGAGTACAAGTTCTTATTTGTCAATAAGCATAAACCTCTTTATAACAAATCTTCACTGAATCCCAACATGAATTAACATGCCTTAACTGAGAGGGAAAAATAATGTGCTTTACCATATTCATGATCAGAATTCATTTCTCATTGCTGTAAAAGCCAAGTATCTTTGTGGTAATTAATATGGCCAACAAAAAAAACAAACAAAAAAAAAACCAAAAAAAACCCTCCTTTAGGAATCCTAGAAGGACACGTTGAGTGGCTGAACATAATGATTAGGTTACTACCAGTATTAATTATCATTCACAGGAAATGAGATTTTTAAAACTAGTGCTTTGTCAACAAGCACTAGATTTTCTATGAAACCCTGAATATGTGGCAGACTGTTCAGTCCATGTAACTTCAGGGAATCCAACTAGTTTGCTTAAATTAGTGAAGTTGCCTCRGGCTCCCTATTCATCAAGGGAGCCCTTAGAGGACAATTCAAAACAGTACTCAATTCTGAACTGCCCTTTGAAGGCTGTCAGCTACTCTCAATATTTGAATTGTACAAGTCAGGCAGTATAAACACCTTACCATACCAACATTAACCACAGCAAGTGATTTCCAAGACCTATATCAAAGTGTTTAAAAAATTGCAACATACCACATCTGTACCCACAATGACACACACATGGCCTTTTCACACTGGGTTAGAAAACACCGTGGGTTAAAAAAACTGCAAACAAARGAATTCAGCACATTCAATCCCCCAAAACCTCTAACCCTACCGGTAATGCTGTTAATACAGTAAGCCTGGTGTAGGCACAAAATGTAACGGTTTAGGCTCACGTCTTTAATTTCATTCCCCAGAAAACCATATAATGGATATATCCACCATATAATGGATATCTTGGTGATTTTTGATAGCAAACCCGAACACAACAGCTTAGCTGGTATGCCCTGTTTTTACCTTTCATATATATATATATATATATAATCTCTTATCTATCTTCTCCCTAACTCCACTGACCTTTAGTGCTGAGCTGTATCAACAGCTGGATAAAACCATCCTGAAAACCATGCCTATAACAAAAAGGTTCACGACCCTTAACAAATGTCTAAAACACCAGAAACATTCGGTCAACAGCGCCTTACTTCGATGATCAGTGATCTTAGATCACTGATAAATCTTGGCAGTCACACAGGTAAGTTACCTTTCCAGTGCCAAAAAGGCACATTTTAAAACATCTGCATTCAACATGGGAGCCCAGAGAGCGGAGGGCCTGCAGCAGAGCCGGCCCTCAGGCCGGAGGGAGAGCTGCCCCCGGCCGCTGCCAAAGCTCGGCGCATCCCGGAGGCGGGCGGAGGCGGCGGGGGTGCCCGGCCCGGGCGAACGGGAGCCCCGGGATGCTCCGCGGGCGGGGGCGGTGCGGGGGCGCGGGCAGGGGGACCCGAGCGGCGGCCGCAAGGACACGTCACCGCTGCTGTCCCTGCCCGCCGCGCCGCCCGCCGGGAGCCGTAGTGCCGGCGGGGCCCGGCGGGGCCGCGCACACAAAGAGAGAGCGGGGGATCGGCTGTCGCGGCCGGGCCTCGCCCCCCGCCCCCTCCCCGCCGTGCCGCGCACTCCTCCCTCCCTCCCCGGCTGCCACGTAWCCCCGCCGCCCGCAGGAACTCCCGCCGCCGCCGCGGGCCCCGCACGGCCTCCCGCGCAGCGCCGCGGGGAAGCGGGACCCCGGTCCTGGCGGCAGCCACGGGCTGCGCCTCTCCGAGCCGAGCCGGGGAAAAGGGCGTTCCCCCCGGGGAAGCGGGGATGCGCCGCGGAGAGGGAGCCCCGCGCTGGGTCTCGGGCCGTGCGGCGGGGCGGGCGGGGGTCGGCTCCGGTCCCCGCGTACGGCGGGCGGGCGTGGGCCGGCGGGCAGGTGCGCCGGGAGGCGGCGGCGCTGGCTGGGGCAGCCGCAGGGCTCCGCACAGCCCCCCGTTACCGCGGGACTCCCGCGCCCTCCCTCCCCTCCAGCACCGAGAGCCTCCGGCGGAGTGCGAGGAAGCGGGCAGAGGACCCCCAGCGGGGGCGTCGGTGCCGCCTCACCTCGAACATGAGCCCCAGCAGGAAGATCATGGCCATGCAGGACACGATGTCCGCATGGTTCTGCACGATGAACTCGTGGCTCAGCACCGGCGGGTTCTTGTTGCTCTTCTTGCGGATCGCCATGGCGGGCCGGGAGCTGGGCGCCGCCGCCGCCGCCTCCCCGCTGCCAGCACAGCTCCTCTCGCCGCGGCCAGGAAGAGGCGGAGGGGGAGGAGGCGGCCGCGCAGCCGGGGAATGGCAGCGCCGCCGCTCCGCTTCCCCCGCCCCGCCGCCAGCAGCGCCCCTGCCGGCCGGCGGCGCCCCCGCCCGCCCGTTCAAACCCACCAACCAACCCGGGCGGCGGCGGGGCTGGGGGTGTGAGCACAGCCGTGCCGTGCCGAGCGGTGTCGTGGCACCTGGGCAGTGGTGCCGCGTCCCTGGCAGCGCTGGCCGCATACTCGCTGGCGGTAGCCCGAAGCCCGTGCTGGGCACTGGCCCAGCTTCACTCTCGTACCGAGGGGGCGGCGACAGAAAATGACCGTGGGTCTCCTGGAGGGGGTCACGGAGGAGACCCGACCTAACAGAGCGGGCTGCCCCCGCTTCTGGTCGTGCCGCGGAGCCGGGCCGGACTCCACTTCCCCTCTGGCAYCCCCCGTTATCCATATTCACCACTGATGTCTCTCTCCTCCACCGGGTTTCTGGCTAAGTTTGGGTGCCGCCAGCCCCCGGCCGGCTGGGCTCCCGGGGCGTAAGGAGGAGGCCGCGCTCGCTGGGCTCGTTCTGGGTAGGGTACAATGTCCCMGGGCCGGCAGCGAGCTCTGCTCACACGGTACTGTGTAGCTAGAAAGAACAGTAACAGTAACAAGACATCAAATCCAAGAAAGCAGACTGCAATAAAACAACCGGGAAGTAGAGAGGGAAGAGAGGCTAGATGTAGATCAAAAAACCTAACCCCGTAACAGAAGGCTCTTGCCAGGTTAAAGCAATGAACRAAGGAAGAGGTCTGGGAAATCAACGCTGATGCGGAAAACATCCAAGCCGAATTCAGCCGTCCTTCAACCCTCGCAAAACTCCAGCTATTTTATTTATTAAGGCTTCTGTCAGGAAGATACTTCCAGTGAATATATGAAAAAGAAATAAAAAGAAACTGACTAACTTATAGATGAAATTTAGTGTTGTCAGATGGCTTTTGCTGCCAGCAGCTAATGAATACAGGACAAGAAGTCAAGGTGTAACTATTTGGTATTGCTTTGCTTTGCCAGAATGGAGAGCATGCACCAAGKCCATTGTATGAGCTGTTTTAAATATGTTGATTTCTTCCCGCTGAACGGAGCAATGACTCACGGAACAGACTATCAGTGTAAGACCAGCTTTTTCAACCACAAAACACCTTCCTTCATCAGCTGTGTAGATGTTCAGAGTTTTCTAAGAATTTATCATGAGACAGCTACAATTGATGTCTGGAAATGATCTAGGACATTTAAAAATGCAGAAAAAGCTACAGAAAAATTTCCTTTCACAACAGGATTTTTTTTTTTTTTTTTTAAGTTTCAACAGAAGAATTCCTATTTTAGTCCCAAGATTTTTTTATATTCTAGAAATGCCTTAATCTCCTGGCTGCACCAGTATTCTGTAAATGTAATGCAAGCATGTTATTTCAACAATAACGATGCAAAAATATATTCCTGATTGCATGTGGTATAATCATGAATGTAACATACTGCACCTGTGAAATACATCAGGTTGGAATAAAAATTGAACTCCTTCTTGCAATACAAATTTGCATCTATTTCCCACCTCAGACTTRAATCAGGCCATCTCATCTCCACAGAACATAACAAACAGGACTTAACTGGGACAAGACCTGCTTTCCTCAAGCTTTAATCAGCAAGTGCCTCAAGTGCCTGGCTTGATATCCTGTCACACAGGCCCTCGGTTTCGGCCGGGCTGTGTGTTTGTCCTGATGATACGCTGTAAACTGCTAGACTGAAATGRAAAACAAGGCAACGCATTGCCTCACCTGAAGTTTACACACCTTCCTTTTATCAGGAGTTTCCTCTTCTGCCACATGAAGTTTCACCATGGATCTTTTGGCAAAGTGGGATGGTCAGCCCTCACTCTGCTACTGGCCATGGATGACTGGTCTATGYTTGCCAGGTTTCTTTTCCAGACAGCCGTATTTTCCAACACTAGGCTTCAAAATAATCACATTCTTTAGGGAGTTTCTTCCCATCTGAATCGGGGAGTTTCTGGCATCTTATCACAGAATCTCATCGTGTGTGTGTCCCAAAACCTTACTGACCAAACCAAATACAGCATCTGAGATGGGAAGACCGTGGAGACTTTGGCAGGCAGCATATTAGAGCACTTGCAGTAACAAGACACAAACAGAGCAATACTTTTACTATCTGGGAACCTTTCCTGAATTTACTTGTCATCAAACCCGCTTATACATGGAATCAAGAACAATATTTTAAAACAAATATAAATAAGCAAATTAGCAAGAAACAGAATGGAAAACTTCGAGATTATACCTACCATCAAACTGCTAGGTCTTAAACATAATGATTCCTTCTCAGGGCAGGTTCTTAAAATTAGCTGTCAAGAAGGCTGGAAACACAATTTGTGCTCCCTCCATCTTCTRTCCCCAGCTGTTTAGATGAAGTTATCCCAGCAACTCATATTAGCCCTTTTAACCTGGTAAGACAGAAGTAGCCCTTTCTCCTCTTTTTATTTGCATCTTACAATGCATTCTGCACAGATGAACATCTTCCCCACAAGGGATGTGAACAGGCTGATCCCCATTTTTATGCATACATGCCGTATAGCTTACATCACTACCGTTTTAAGATAAACATTTCATTTGACATAATTAAGGAGCTTTCAGACTTTCAACATGCCATAGCAAAGTATATTTTATTATATATACATCTCAGTAACAGTGCAATTTCTGATCCTTATATTCCAAAGACACCCATACACAATCATTAATGACTTGTCTGGTTGAACAGCCCTTTTCCTTGGGTTTTTTTTGGACATGTCAGGCATTTGCTGCAGGACAGCATGGAACATGGAGTTCGCTATTTGTATCCTCTTGCTTTCTTTGTTCTCTTCAAGTTCCAACAATCCTTTAATTAAATTCTAAGGCYGTTTTCATGTATTTAAAAATTTATAGTAAAACAGAAGAAAATCACTAAGTGACATTAGATTTCTTCATCAGCTCAGAAAAGTAGTAAGACATCACCTCTTCATACCAGTTTCCTGCTGTCTTAGGTTCTCCGACCTCATGACAGAAAACCGTGTCGTTTCACTGATATTTCTGTTTTCCTGAAGCAAAATGATACCATTCAGAGGATGTGAATTAYCTTTTCTTCATTTTCAAAATAGCAGCGATAATTATGTTTTTATTCCTAATACTGGAACAGGTAACTACAAATTCATGGAACAGCTACAGGAAAACTAAGTATTAATGGAAAGAAGTCCATGTGAAAACTGAGTAATTATTAAAAAATGGAAGAAAAAAAATATTTTGTGGAGGAAGAGCTAAAAAGTGTCTGGAAAATTCAAGTAAACAGAAAATACAATAGGAATGAAACCTAGGAGACCTGAGAAAGACCTCAAAATGACACTGCACAAAAAGTTGAAAGTGAGCATGTGTCACAATGTGGCCAAATTTCAGATCAATGGAATTTGCAAGAAGAATCATTTTAGCAGTAAGTGATTATTCCCCTTCTTCAGGGGTCTGGCTACTACTTCAGAATACGATTTCTGTTATGGACTGCTATTTTTGGGACTATTTTTGTTTTGGATTTGTCTCAGCTGATCAGAACAAGTGCCACCAGCTTCATAAAAAATGTCAATTATTAAGACATGCCTTAAGTACCCAAACAAATGCATGTTTCACAAATGAGGGTACAGGACTGAGAAAGGTTTTCAAGAACATAARTTGTCCTCAATACTTTCAAACATTTCATATCTGCTTTTGTTTTCTAAGGCTGAGCCAACATTATAAGAAATGTATATATTAAGAAATGTCACACATTTTGAACACTCAAAGTAATGCAGATATTTATGCATTATTCTACAAGCATAAGGTACAGAGACTGAACTTGAGGTTTAAATTAATCTCCAAACATATTTTAATACATTATACAATGTATCTTACAACCAAATACAACCTTTTAGTTAAATATTTGTAGTTTGAGTGGATTAAGAGCAAAACTTGAAGATTGTTAGTTATGATGTCACAAACAAGGTCAACTTCATACAACGTGCAATACATATCTCAATTTATACAGCTTTTTAATCACATTCTTGCACAATCTTATACAGAATTTAAGTCTGCTCCAACTCAATGCATTTTTGGACTCTCGTTAGTTAAAWCTAATGAATCCTTTGAATGAATTCCATAGAAATGGTGTTTTCACAAAAAAAAAAAACATAGATGCCTGAAATTACTTCAGTGTTTGTTACACCTATTGCACTGAGCGACCAGTGARGATGAGTACAGTCAGCTGAATTAGAAAAGGAACATAAACCCGATTATTTACATCTGTTAGCAAAAATAACTTGGTTTTTTAGAATATACAGGTAACTCACTAGAAAAATCACTTTTTGAGAAGAACAAGCATGTGAAAACAGGTTTAGAATAACACACATTCTGTTTTTTTTTTAACTGGATATTTCTTTTATATATGTGATTTATTAAGTTCATAATATTGTTTTATGATATTGTAATATTAAGTTTATAAGACYGTGCTATTTGTCTTCTGCCACTCATGATAAAACTGAGCATTTTATAACAAAGGTAAGATTAAATTCTTCACACTTGTTTCATTTTATTGACTCAATACTAACCAGGATATTTAAAAAATTTTAACATAGTAGAATGTGAAAGACATTACATACCTTGCTGTAATGTTGCTTTAAACTTATTACCACTTTATAAAAAAAATAAGTAAAAATTATTTTTTATTTTACATAGTCTGAGCTCATTATTATGTTTTTTTCATACAGCAACCGTGCAAATTAAATATATACCTGAGCAATTTTGCCAAACTTATAGATTATTTTTCCATCTGAAGCTGGGAGTTTCATCACGTACTGTTAAGAAAAAGAGACCAAATTAGTTACAAACCAACACTTAAGATTTTATTTATAAAYATTAGATTATCTCAAACTTAACTGTACAAGTGTATGTATGTCGACACATGACATTTAAATTAAAACTAATGAAATGGTTTCCTTCATGCCAGTGTTCCATCTTAATGGAAGGTGATAAACATAAATTGTTTCAATTTGTAATTGTTTCATAATGTAATTTAGCAATATAAAGATTGATTAATAAAAAGGTTATACTAATCCTCTGGTTATTTAAAGTTCAGTATATTAACTTTCTAGATATTAAGAAATCTGAGGTAGTAGAGCACCTGCTGCTTTTCTGAAATTTAYAACCTTTAGATGGAAAAAATTTGTGCTGCTAAATTAAGAATAGCCAAATTATTTTTATCTCTTTGTCTGCTATGATGTGAAACAATGACCAAATTATTTATATCCAAACACAGGAGAAAGCTTACACATGTGCATTGTGCCACTGTCCTGATTACAAGACATGATTTTTCTGTTTAAAGTAAGAAAAGCAGACTTGTAAGAGGCAGTGTCACTTCCAATTGCAGTTATAAATGTTATGTACCAACAAAACCCGCAATCCCTAGGATGAAGTGGTTAATTAATGAYTGCAGCAGGCAGCATATGGCCATCATTTGCATTGAGTAACTCTCTTGTAAGGTTGTAATATTTTGTAATGCCTGTCACATTCATTATCGATACTGACAAGATGTTTCTTTGGAAAAATGTTTCRTGAAAATTAGGCAGACAGTGTTATGTCTACAGCTCAAGTCTTCCATAATGAGAACAAAACTCGGGATGCTGCAAGGTCTTAGAGTATGTGGAAAGGGCATCAAAGTAAATTAAAATCAAATGAGCAAGTACCATGAGTACACAAGCATTTGTATGCTACATGCTCAGAATGAACAGAATCAGTTTTCCTTAACAGATGCCCTTAATTTGAACTGAAAAATGGGCACAGGTCACGTGATGTTAAGCATTCACCATAGGTCTGGGGCTAAACTTGTATTTAAMAATTCAGCAACTGCACACTGCAGAGATAAGCACATAAAACCCCCAAGTGTTCTGATGACATTGCTTCCCACCTTCTCTGTGGGCTCAAATTCAAGTTTAGAAAACAAAACAAACTACAAAGGGCACATCTTGTGCTTCCTGGAAAGCAAGACACGCATCTGAATCAAGGACCTCCAACTGGAGCAGGAGACTCACAACAATTATTCTGATTAGCATCACCTCTAGTTATTTAACCATTCTGATAATTTCAAGTAGTTGATACTTTGTGAATGATACATGACTGTATCTGATACATGACATACTTTGTCAGATACATATCTGCTCTCTCTTCAAAACTGAAAAGCGACTTCTGAGAAAAACTGAGCTATTTTTGTTCAGTAAACATGAAAAGGGTRGTTCTGAGAAAACAAAACCCTTAAGTCAGTAGCTTAGTCAACCAAGCTATTTCCTGGGCATTCAAAATAGAGTCTCTTGTAGGGAAGACTACTTTTACAGTTAATTTATCTGCTACTTGATCAACAGAAAATGCTGTTGMTTGAACTACTTTGAGAGTGAAAAGAAGGGAAAAACAGTCAACAACACCTGATGCCCTTGATGAATCTGGTGGCACAAAACTGGAGAAATGCATTAATATGATGCATATTAATAACTGCATATTAATAACCAAGAACAATATTTAAAAGCTGGTGCAGTAAGTACCATGCTGATGAAGTTTCTATGGCATTCTGCACAAAAYTAGCCTAAAGAGAAACTTAAATGTAAACCCATAAAATACTATGTACATGCATATTTAGKTACAAATTTCAGAAAATACAAGAAGGTATAATTGCTAGCATTAGGAATTTATTTTATGGTATGTTTTAAATCAAGAATTAAAGGTATATGCATCACAGTAATCTGTGCTCTAAGCACTCAAATACTTTATATTTTCTAAAAGTTTGGAAATACTGTACAACCATTTTGCATATTACTCTACTTCAGTTTGTCTAATGGACAGCTACTGCAAAAAAACCCATTTTTTTTCTCCTAGAAAAGAATGTACTAAAATAACATGAGAAATAGTGCATAGAATATTAAAATGAAAATGACCCTTCTTCCACCCTCCATCCCCAACTTACACACTTTTCCTTCTTTTTCCAGCTTCTTCAAGTGGACTAGGAGGTTACTTTCTGCTGCTGGAAGTAAATTTTCTGGGATTTCCTAATGGAAACAAAATTTAAGCATTTTGTAYTTGTTTAAATATCCATCAATTATTTTTTCAATGTACAGAATCCATAGTTTATTACCACAGATTTTCCTCTTCTGAATTGGTATGTGGACTGTTCAGTTAGTTATGTAACAAGAGGAAACTAAGATGAGTGAATCAATTTTACACCAGTTAAACAAGTAGTCTAACAACAYATATTTGTTTACTTTGTTTTTCTTGCACTATCCATTTGCATGATGAAAACTTATGCCAGCACTAAGAAGACTCCTCTTCTGAGCTTGGTCTACCCTGGGTTGTCAGTGTAGCTGAGTATTTTTAAAGACAAATTTATGGTGCATTTCTCCACAGGTATCTATCACTTCTTCTATTCCATGACAATATATGCCTACGTTTAAATATCCCSTAGCAATTAGTATCTGTCAGTGGGTAAAGAATTATAAAATGTAACAGCTTCAGGACAAAACATCTCTTACAATTTTTCAATGCTCATTATATAAAAAGCAGTAACACCTGCTGCCTAGAAAAGCAGTGGATGCCCCATCCATACAAGGGTTTGTCTTAAGGGTTCAAGAACAAGGCAGATGGAGCTTTGAGCAATCTGGTCTTGTGGAAGGTGTCTCTGCCCATGGCAGGGGGGATGGAAATTGATGACCTTTAAAGTTCCTTCCAAGCCAAACTATTCTATGATTGTGTGATGATTGCTCAAAATCCTCTCTCCASCTCTGTCATCCTAAAGGTAAAGCTACTTTTCCCTTTTTACAAAATTCAGAAGTTCTTCAAATAATTTGTGTGGCAGGAAAATTCACTAGGAAACTAGTTAAATTTAGAATACTTTGAAAGCATTTGCCTTTTTTTTTTTTGTAATATAAAGCTTTAGTACTACTGAAAAATTTCTTACCTAGACAGGACAAGTGRTTTGTGATTTACAGAAATGCAAGAACAGCTCTGTATTTTAAAATCTARTTGATCAGACAGGAGAACTGCAGAAGCTGAACTGCCATAGGTAATGGTACATCAGTACTGCAAAATGTTCAATGTGACGTAATCATTCTTTTGGAAACTGSGAATCAGCAGAACCATGAAAAACGGGCTGTGAATCTGTAACAGACCTGTTTGCAAGCCACAGCCACTGGCATCTTTGACATCTTCCTCCAATGCAGAAATGCTACATCTCTTATCTCTGCTTGTTAGGAGGGGCAACCCCCACATCACAGGGACAAATTGCAGCGGTTACGTGAAGAATGATGAAGTAATAAAAAAGTACTCTTACACCAGTCTAATGACACATATGAGCTATTCAACTTCTGAGCTACAATATCCTTACACCTGCAAACTGATAAATCAAGAACTAGAAGTTTTTAACAAGTTTTTAATCTTCATGAGACTCCAAACATACTATGCGAAATCCACAACTAACAATCATGTCATACTTTTCACTTTTAACCAAGCACCACAATTTTATTTTTGCTTAGTCTTATGAAACTGTGCCTAAGACCATCTGGACAGTTAAATAAGTTCGTAAGAATCATCTGAGCCTCATTCCACTTAAGTGCTTAAACAAAACAATTTAAATGCACAGTCATAAGTGAACCCTGAACAGGCAGAAATATGTTTTTTAAACCCTTTTAAAAAGCCACTATGGTTTTCACTCAAGACAAACATAAATACAAATTTCATGTTTAATCTAAAAACTTTTAATCAACARTTACCTTGTATACTATCTTTACAAGCTCTGAGGATGTATAGGATTTACCAGCATTCTTCTGGAAAACATTCACAATTTGCTGTTCACGTGCAAGTCGGTGAGAAATGTAGTTTTGGATTCTAGTATTTGCATCACGTACTACTGGGCCATGACCTAAAAATCAAAACACATGTACCAGAGCACTATTACTTGCATTTGTAATTTGCTACTGAATAACTGAAACATTCTTATGTAAACTCCAGCAGATTTAAAAGTTTGTAAAGGTTTAAATGTCTGTATCACACTCCACTCTGTGTCTGAAAAGTATTAAGAACAAAAAGAAGCATTAGGATATGCAAASTCTGAATGAGGAAAGGGAATACTTCAGATGGAATAAGGAAAGCAAAGGAAGACTATAGGCTGTTGCAATGGATTCAGGTACTACCATCCTATTGGGGCACTACCCAGCAAACCAAGGTGACATATCTTTAATTGTGACAGGTAATTTTCCTGAACAAATCTTCAAAACTGATTCACACACTGTATTTTATGCCTTTAAAAACATGGTCATAAATATGATAAAAAAAAATAGATGACAAATAAGTGAGCCAATAGGAATGTGTGAGGGCAGGAAAAAGGAAGGCACAGGGAAAGTTACAGGTTATCCTTTTATGTCTGGCTGGTTAATAACCAAAACACATGTTTTTTCCTGGACTAACTCTGGCAGATCAGAAATGTTCAACTTACTGACAGGTCTTTGAATCACATTATCAAAAAGCTTAATTGGTAAAGCACTAACCTTTATGAAAAAACCGAATACTGCCTCATGGTACATTAAAATGACAAATTATTGTTTAGCATGAGAGTTACATACACAGAAATTATATTTGATGTGTTACATATAGAGGAATTGACTTGCGCAAATATTCATCACATGCTTTTTGCAGCAAGGTTTCGTATTTGTTTGCCTGTACACTTCACCTGAAGTAGCAGGAGCAACTTCCAGCTCTGCCAGTGAAAACTCTAAATAATTTATAAAATTAGTAGAAAAGAAACTACTGTAAGTTTCCTTTTAGAAGTTATTTAGCATCATCGAAATCAGTTTCTTTTGAGGTTCCCTAACTCTTTTTAAAAAATTACCTCATTTTTTACTTGTACTTTAAACAGTTTTTATTTTTTTAAGCTTTTTAAATTAAAGCGCATTTTATCTGAGGACAGGTAGCTTATAGAAAAAGAGCAGCTGATTTYTCATGTTTTGCACTAAAGTGTCAAAAGAATCTATCCTTCTGTAAGTCAAAATATTTATACATATCTCAATTWATACACTCCAGCACATTTGAAATGGCTAAATATACATTGAAGCTTACCTTGTTTAAATATAGTATTATAAATACACAATATGTAATGTGTAAATATAAAACTATACGTCATRTGCATTTACATTTAATGATTTCAAACATATTTAGTCTAGAGCTACTTTTCCTTACAAAATAAATTACAAGTATAACAGTATCTACTGTTACCATTTACAAACCCAAAAYTTTAATTTTAGAAAAAATATAATAAGATATACAAACCACAGACTGTAATGTTAACTGTTCATTCTCTTGCCTTCTCTAATGACAGAAGTCTCACTAATGTAATCAAAATTAAAAACTGCACATGGAATCGCAAGGCATTCTTAAAACCTGGCCCTACTCTTCCAAGTGATTTAATTGACAYAGACTACAACACCAATGTCAGAACATGAAATGGAACCCACATTTTACAAATTAAAGGGATTTAATATCCATTACATCATCTAATCCATAGCTGTTGTGTATGCATAGACATACATTAAAATGATCTCAGAAAGCTTGTAACTAAATCCAGATGTGGAACTTTCCCATCCATCATTTTTCAGGAATGGCAATTCATTTATTTATTTATTAATGAATAAATGGATTAATATCTGAATAAATGTAAAATGTTTCTGAGCATATGAAAAGCACTCTCAAAATATGAATGCCTTTCCATGAATTCAGCCCCAATATGAGACAGATTCATATTATTTCCTCATAACACATTGTGAAGTGTGAAATTCTTCCTTTAAAGTACACCACAAAGGACAGAAGTGAAGAAAACAATTGGCTCATGAAATCTTCCAGATTCCTAATTCCACTACCATTTTTTAATGTATTACCAAGGAACATTGTTCATTATTACAGGATGGGGAGCCCTCTGCTGACTAAAATGCCCTTTTCCTGTCCCAAGGATTCTCTTCAAATGCCATCTAAAATAGTAATGAGTAAACAGATGTCATGAGTGGTGTGCCYGAGTAATTTCCACATTAAATTAAAAAAAACAAAACAACATGGAAATGAAAGGATTGATAAAATTCACCTGTTCTCATCTAGCCCGACATCAGTTTGTTACAAAAATTCATCTAATTCTGAGGCTACCACATGAGTGCTAAAGCATGAATGGGGAACAGAGAAACAGTTCAAGAATTATGAAGACCTAATATTGCAGCAGAGATAATAAATTCTATATTTGGCTTATWCAGAAAGTATTGGTAAAGCAAACTACCCCTTCTTGGTTATCCAACAGTATCCACAATTGTTCTAATTGGGCAAATAGCCACTTCTGCATATACATTTTGTGGTGCATGGATGAAAAAAGAAAGCTCCAAACCATCTCAATACTTAGCTATGATCACTGAAAATGCACTATGTCAGCCTGGCTTTCTAATTGCAATTACAGGATGAACACAGTCAAAACAGGAGCAAACAGTTACAAATAAGGAGCACAAATGTTCAGCCTTGGAGAATCTAGGTAATCTAGGTGCATAACCATTAAGAACAGAGTGAAATAAAACAGATAAAATTGATAAACCAAATAGAATTTGGCATATATGGGGTTTTGGAAGGCAGAAATTCAGTTAGAAGAACAGACTGTGTTTTGCAAGTTAAGAAAGAAAGTAAAACACTTGATTGAGAMTCTGGATCTCAAAAAATTGTTAGTTTTAACAGTAGTTAAGTCAATAAATATGACCAAGTCACTATTCTGTCTACATTAACCTCTCCATCCATGGAATATCTATGTTTTTCTTAAACAGCATTTTCATGTTTAGATCTTAAAGGACACCKACTATAAAAGAAGGCTATTTTGAGAGTGAACACAAGAGAGTAGGCTAAACATAGATGGCTAATGGAACAAGGCAGAACTAAGAACATAGATACAGTAGCTTGGAATGACAAGTTGAAGATGAAACAGAAAAAGTCAGAAAAAATCCTGAGATGTAGCTCTGAAAAATCAAATGAGAAGCCTAAACTTTGGTTACATAATGAATTCTTAAAATGCAGTCTTGTCAAAAAGACGTGGTATATATGAAAAGTAAATGCATTCCCAAAGTTTGGAGAAGAGAGAGGAAAAGAATTAAAGGAAACCTACACACTGAATGAATTGGCAACATTTTTAGAATATGCTAGGTTAAATTTGAACAAGAGCCAAGAGACCAAAGTTATTAACTAAGACAACTATTTTACAGTTCTGCAGCTCTCCAAGATGACTTTATGATTAATCTGTACTGCAAACGAAAGACACCWCTCTCAAAAAACATTACTAGGTTACTCACAATGACAGTGCATTTGGGATGAAAAAAKACCAAAAGAACAACTATTATTTTTTCTTGCAGGACAAAATTAATACACATTTACACAGGGATACACATTTACACACATTTACACATTAATACACAGGGATAGAATAATGTAAGAAAATTAGATTTGCTGTATGATTCCAACAGTGAAAGATTTTGGCCTCTGGAGTCTTTGGGGACAGAAAGGTAAGACCCACCCTCAAATGGAGAATTTTCAGACAGGAAAGATACCTACCATTAAAAAGTTTCAAGTGTTGCAAATCATCATGACAAAGTCAGCTTAACACTTACTAAGTAATGAATAATTACTTTCAATTAACTTGAATTGTTACATCAGGAATGATGTTTGATTGTAACAATAGCTCTCAAACTCTTAGAGGAGATATTTCAAAATTTGCACAGTAAAAGAGAGCAATTAAAAACAGAAACACTTACCTGGATATATCAAATCTGGTTTCATTTCTAACAACTTTTTCAAAGTTTTCAGGTAATCAGACAGGTCTTCTATTACTGTTGTTCCTTCTCCTAAAATACAGTCACCAGAAAATACTGCATTTTCTTCCTCTAGATGTAAAACCATATGATCATCAGTATGTCCTGGTGTATATAGAACTCTGTTTAAAGAACAAAAAAAGCATATGTTTTTCATACAGCTTATATATTTAGTTTTTGAAGCCATTGGTAAAATCATACACTTGCACAGCAGCCCGTAACAAGAACCAGAAAAAAATGACCAAAAAAGGCTGAAAAGTCGATACAAACAGTTGATGATGATTTGTCTAATCCCAGTCCATTTTATTATACCATGTAGAGAACATCAATCATAATCTCTAACATGCTTTTAGTTACATGACACATCATAACACAAGTGCATTAAGGGAGCTGACTAGCCATGTAGAATTTGTTTATAGAGGGCTTTACTATGAAGCTTTTAAAAGAAAATTGACATGTTATTTCCAGATTGCAACGTGTGAAGTTCTTCACATACACCTAGCCCTTAGCAATGAGGGTAAGGATGATGGCTATTCTTTTAGAAATGAACTACAAACCTCCAAACCTAACCCAGACAAAGTTCAGTCTCCCAAAATTTATTTTTCCCTGAAGGCCCCATGGCACTGTGAAGCACAACTGACAAATACAAAGAACCATGGTCTTCCAGCTGCTCTATGCACAGGTCCTTAAAGACCTGCATGGTAAGGATTAAGAACCCACAGCTTGGATGAGCACTGCATTAGCATGCAGCAAAGGGAAAGTGGGTATGTCTATAGTATACAGTAACCTGAGYTGCTACGGAGCTGCACTCTCGTGTCCTTTCACTATGGTTTCTGAAAAGCAGAAGGGCCTTACACTGAGGCTGATGCTGACTGAAAGTAACAGTGAGACCAGCATCAGTACTGAAATTCATTAGAATSTTCTTGTTAGTGGCAGATGCATTAAAGCAGCGATCAGGAACTGACAGAGCCGGTGCCAAGCATGGTGCGCAGGGCGAGGCTAAACGGCTCCGAGCCACATTGATGGCTGGAAGATGCAAGTGCAGCATGATCTGATGCAATGACTTCCAGCTCCTACTGAATACTGAGCTCAGCAAAAAGCAGGTGACTCATTGCCCCGTGGAGGCAACACCACAATCAAGTTGAAGGGTTGGAAGATGCCTTTGTAGGAAATGGTAAACTTCAGTTCTTGATTAAACTTTACCAGGAAGCCAAACCACTAACATGGAAAAATAACGGAAAGAGAACCCAAGACTGCCTAGGAACCTTGAAAACGTGAAGGTTGCTAACTAAAATTTAACATGAAGTTGCTGCTATTTTGAAACCAGTGGTGGATCTAAGAGTATCCTAAAGTGCTCACCGAATTAACCAGGTGAGAATATCTGCTTTTAATCAAGCATAAAGTTTGACTACATTACCTCTGTCACAACCCATCCCTATGGGTTGTGATGTTTGTTACAAATTCTCTTCAGGATCAACAAGGACACTGGACTATGTGTCAGGGAACTCCCATGCTTTCTGGTTTAATCACCTTAACTCCAGCAACTAGCCCACTATTCGGTCTCAGAAGCATTGGCTAACAAGCCCTTTACATTGATGACACACTTCAACAAGTTTCTAATCCTCACAACAAACTTCTCAAAGCTGCTGGCTAACAAGCTCTGTATTTTCACAACACCCTTCAACAAGCTCCCAGCTCCCACAACAGCACAACCAGCTTGTTTGAGCCCTCCARGAACTGACTTGGGCTGGGGGACTCATGAAGGCCTGAGTCCGAAGGCAGAAAAGGAAGCTGGCTCAGAACAGTGCYGTCCCACCTCCAGATCCCTGCCAACCACAACTTTGCTGTTGCAACAGGATGCCTGAGACAAAACATGCCTACGCCTGGTCCTCCACACCCCCGAACTTCAAAATGTGCTAATACTAAACTTACTTGGATTGAAACTTAAAAAGTTGTTTTCCATCTCCAAATTTTGGCACAAACACGAGCCATTTAGGGCAGTGAAGGGTCTTCCATATGCAGTATGAGAATAAGTTTTTACTTCTTTTTTTTTTTTTTACACTAATAAAATAAAATGCTTTTGGACAAAATACATCCCTTTTCTTTTTTTTCTTCCAATCAAGTGACATATTCTACAAGCAGGATGTAGCTCCCATCTAAACTGAGGAAAACAAGGAAACTTTGTCCTCACAAGAGTAATGCCGTGTTAATGAAAGAAATCTGCCAACAGAATGGTCAGAACTTTTTAYTGTGTGTGTGTTTCCATGAGGCACAGTGCCTTTCTATCTCACAGTGCCTTTCATTCAGACTAAACACTATAAGCAGTATGCTCCATGGAAAAAGTACTCCAAAACTGGCACCCTACAAGAACCCGAAAGGTTCGAGGTTTAAATTTTAACATTTTAAGTATAAAATGTTTTAGAGTCTCCTAGGGAAATATTTTTAAAGTAAAAAGAAAGCCATGCTAAATAATCCAGTCACACTACCACAGACTTCCACAATTTTAATAGTAACTAATTATGCAAGAGTGATGAGAAAGCATGTAAAATACTATTTGATTTTCCTGGAGAAAGTATTTTTCTAGGGAAATGTTCTTAATTTCTCTGCCTGATAATTCTCATCCATAAAAACAATTTTTTTTTGTATTAACGTATCCTGCTGGATCATGGTAGGAAGTCTATAAGCCTAAGTGCTGAAAAGATTAGACAKATGGATCAGCAATCATTAGAAATTAGGATACACGTATGTGTCAAAACTCTGAAGAAAAAAGAACATGCAGAAATTCATGTTTACCTGAGTGTGGCTCCCTCTGTCTGCACCACATCTCCATCTTTAAGATAAAAATATTTATGTCCTCCTTCTATTGTTTCTTCACGGTGAGGGACACGAGGGAGCTTACACACGCGATATTCTGAGTCTAATATTTAAGGAAGGCAAAGACAACAATGTTTTGAATTTGTCACTAACAAAATTAAATGCACAAACAGGTCATTTTGAATAAGCATTAATAATTATCACACAGCATGACTGCAAAACTACAAACAAACAATTCTGCAGAGTAACTTTATTTGTAAGGCAACCTTATTCTAGAGCCAAAACCACCAAGCAGTGAAAGCCACTGATTCTGAATACTGTACTCTGTAATAGAAACAAATTTGAAGATGGAAAAAAAAAATCACAAATGAAATTAATAAAGATCAGTGATTATATTTTACAAATATAAATACGTGACTCAAGAACCAACTCCCCCAAGTTTTTATACCAGCACTAAGATTTCTGCTCTCACATTTTGCTTTATGATTTACAGAAGCACCACTCAACATCTGTCTAAAACTGAATGAAGACTTTTCAACCTGCAACTTCTTTCAGCTTTTATCATTCTGAACAGTGCATGAAACATAAATGCCTTGGCTGAAACAGCTATAGATAGCAACCCAGAAAGGCATTTCTATAATTTGCTAGTCTTTACAACCATACTCATAGGCTGGCAAGCCCAAAATCCTCACCAAGACACCAATACGCCCATGGCCCCAAGACACCAATTGTTTTCAGTAGTGCCCAGGCTTCTCTGCAGATAAGCATCTGGCAACTTTACAAAATTAAGCTTGTGACAAAGCTTGTGACAAAGTCCAATGATGTTAAGAATTACCACATTATCCATACTGCTTATTCTCTTCCCAGACACCAATGAAGAAGCGTCTCCTACTGTWCATCAACACGAAATACGTTTTTAGCTCAGATTTTATTTACACACTGCCCTACCACATTCCCCTCATGATCTTAGGATCATGAATTTGTCAGCAATTATTAACCGGCCTCTGTAAGGAATTTCCAAGTTATGCATCTTTGTTTTTCAAAATTCAAGTTGTTTTTACACAATGAATATAATAATTTGTAATTGCTGTCATTGCAAAGAGGAAGAAGTATCAAACTTTTCTCACATCTTTTAATACCATGTGAACTAGGTGTCTCATTATTCACATGYAAGAAAAATTCACTATGAAGGTACACACAGGTATTGAACAAAAACTGTAGTATTATGACTATAATATTCAAATTATTCATTGCTCTCAATATACATACTGCAGCAGAACCACGAAATGACATGTAGTTAATATGGCAACCCTAACCCAAAACAATAATCCTGCTGATTTGCACAGAAACACTCAGTCCATGCTTTTTTCTTGCCATGGATCTAACATTTTCAGCAATACCTGAAATCTCTGGCCTACCATTCGGGATGTTTTTGCAGATATCAGGTATTCCACCAGTATGATCACGATGCCAGTGTGTCACTAAAATTTCTTGAATGGAGATGTTGAACTCTGACAGTGCCTGCTTTAAACAGCTGATATATTCAGGAATAGCTGGCTCCCCGGTGTCAATAAGGACTCTCCTACACACAGACCAAAAAAAAAAAGGGAGGGAAAAACACACACCAGGGAATAAAGRGTGTTCATATGACAGACAAGTAATATTAATAAAATAAACATACAYTGCATGGAAATGTAGCAATAATGCATGTTTCCATATGGACACGCCACCTCTTGCMTCATGATATTCCACCCCCGAGGCATGACAATTTAAAAAGTGGGATAAATAACGAATGTTTTTTTGTTATAAATGATAAATAACAGTTGTAGGGATAAACAACAAAATCACAACACTGGGTCAAGTGGCAGGAGCCACCGTTTAGTAATGCGGGGGAGCTGCACGGCCTGAGGCACCCGCCCGCTTCCCTCACGGAATTCCCCGCCTCAGCCCAAGRGTCACCCGGCCGAGGCTCCACCGCCCCCTGCCCAAGCCACCTCCGGGCACTAGCCCCTAAAATTTAACGCTGTGCGGTTTCTTTCCTCCTTTTAACCCTGACTAAGGGATTTGGGAACAGGCCGGCAGCCGCCTCTCGAGCTGGAGGCAGCGCACGGGTCCCAAGTGGGGCCGGGACAGCGGAGCCGCGTACCCCGTGCCCCGTCCCGTTCCCCGCGCAGGGTCGGTACCTGTGCCCGGTGCCCACCAGGTAGGTGTTGGTGCCCTGCAGGGTCATGGGCCCCGGGTTGCAGCCCAGCACCCGCACCACCCGCGACGAGAGCCGCTCGATGCGCGGCAGCAGCGACACCATCTCTGTAGCGAACTCGGCCGGGTTCCCGGCTCCGCTTCCCGGCTCCGCTTCCCTCACGACGCCACAGCCCCGCACGGCGGAAGCCTCTATAGCCCGAGCTCCGCCTCCCGCTGCCCCGCCCCGGCGCCTTCCGCCCGCCCGGCCCTGAGGCGGCTCCTCCTCCCACGGCCGGGCCGGGGCGGGGCGGGCCGGCTTTTGGTGTGYGGCTGGAGCCTSGATCCYAGCGGTRAGCACGGCGGTGATCCAGGGGGATRAAGTTCTTCCTGGAGGACAGTTCTCGGTGGAGTTCAGTGCTCCCGGTCGGTGCCTCGCTGSTCCCCAGTGTGAGGCACGTCAGGGMTCTSCCGGCTTTTCCCAGAGAAATTGGTTGTAATAGACAGATACACCTCTATATCCCAGGAACACGCCCASTTACAGCGTATGTAGGAGCTATGTTCCTGCACGGCACATAGGAGCTGCCTAAGATTCAGCATTTTAAAGAAAATCGGAGAGCTCCTGGAGAATGTCCAGCTAATGTCCACTGAAGTGATGAAGGGACTGGAGCATCTCTTCTGTGAGGAAAAGCWGAAAGAGCTGGGTCTGTCCAGCCTGGAGAARAAGAGGCTCAGGAAGATCTCAGCAATATATGTAAAATCCTGAAGAGAGAGTGTGTAGTAGAGCCAGGCAAGGTGCTGAAATTTACCTGTTTGGTTTTGCAGTGTCTCCTCTGAAACCCCTGATTAATTACCTTTCAAGTGACATTATTAAATAAAATAAGGCATACTTTTCCTCTCCTTAAACTACCTGTAAATGAAAAAATAAATGTAATTTTACCTGAAATAAAATTACCTGAAATAATAAAATCACCTGAAAATAAAATTACCTGAAATAACAGATAATATTACAGTGGGGAACTTCAGCAATATTAGTATCTCAAATATTATCTGAATGTTTTATACTTACATAAGATCACATATTTACCTGTTATAAGGTGATCATAGCAATACAAATCACAAAAAAGTGGTAGCATATTTTTTTCTTAAATGTTTTTTTTTCAGTATATGAAAATACAAATGTACTCCTTGTGTGTGATCTGTGGCCATTTCTAGGATTTGCATGGGCAAAGAGAACAAGTTCTCGCTGTCTTCTGAAGGCGCAGAAAACCCCAAACATGATCTTGACAGGCAAACATCCAAAAGTCTTGATAGAAACAAACAGCTCAGTGTAGTGCATAGAACTGAAAATCAGAATTTCATGGCTCCAAGAAATTTTTTACCTTCACAAAATGTCRAAGTTCAGGGTTTTTTATGTGCTTAAATACTAATGTGGGCAATACATGCCAGGAGATCTGCTATTAAAAGCTTCAATGCTTTACTTCAAGGTTTCTAATAAAAATTTCCATCTTGCCATGCATGACAAACTAGTGTTCCCTGCTCTAACACTACATCTCTTCCCTCTTTCCACTGTTGSTGGTGCTCAGAATGCCAGAGATCCACCTGATACCTTTGGCTCCCAGGGCAGCAGGAGGCAGAGGAAAGCAAAAGATGAGGAGGCAGAGGAGGACACAAGGCGAGGAGGCAGCTTTGAGGTAGGTCCTGATACCAGCCTGGCCATGCTGCTCTTGCTCAAGTTGACCTACAACCCCAGATTTTCTGCTGGTCTCCAAGGTGAGAGAACAAATGGTGCCTTTCAGCCACTTGGTCAGAGAGCAGTGATGCACCTTCTCTGCTTGCCTCTGAGCTGTTTCACCAGCGCCAGTTTAGCTGCAGTTAGTACACCTGAAGTGCTAGCTAAYCTTTCAGCTGCACAAACAATAGACAATACTTGCAGTTACCCATGCTTCACATTGCCCTCTGAAGCACAAGTGACATGCTGGGCAATACCTTGTGCAGGCCTATATTACCCAGTAATTAAAAAGTTCTACTTCTGGACATCTAGTGTGATTGCAGCTGTTAATTGTAAATTAACAGCTATATTTAGATAGGTCCTATATTTAGACCTTCAAGCCAATTTCTTTGATTTATCTGATAAATCTTTACTTATTTGAGATTTGAGATACCTATTTACTTATTTGATATATAAAACCATGACTGACTTTTTAATTTTTTTTTTTTTTTAATTATTTTCATGCTCATTAAAGCGTGAACTACAGACAACATAAAGGATGTTTCAGGTCAAAGGAAAGAAACCTTTTCTGTGCAGGTATTCTGCTGAAATAACCAAGAAAACCCTACACAATATTCCAGTCTCTCCCCATAAAATTTGCCTGTATACTCTTTTGTAAGAAACCGTGACTAGACCTGAATTGACCTAAGCATGAAGCACCCTCTTGTGCTTATTTCGTAGCATATTTATATAGCTATTGGTACATTCAACCCACTTGCAGTCTTCAGGTAAAGTTTAGTTGCTGTGTCATTAGAAGAAGCTACTTCCTAAGCCAAAGCAAGTTGTGTATTTAAGTGGTTTTTAATTTCTGAGAAAATTCTGAATGTTGGAGAAGAGTTCTGAAATTATTTATCTGAATTCCACATGTCATTGATAACTCAGTAAGGTGCCAGTTGTTTTCAACATCACAAGACTTATTTTGTTTTTCCAAATTAAGAATTGTTTGGGGAGCTGTAGACTTGTTTTCCAGAGAATACTTGTTTCGCTGTTGCTGTCSTGTAGCAAAGCTTTTTCTGATGTTAGGCAGGAGCTGTGATTTTTTTTCATCAGTAGGTGGCAGCAATGGTGCCTTTGGAGAATGAAATTCTCCAAAGGTTCTTCTATCCAGGTTCTTCTATCTATTCTCCAGGTTCTTCTATCATAATTTCCTGCACAGGCTCAGATGTTTAAAAATCTCCTGTTTCTCTTATAATGCACGGGTTAATGGACATGTAGTGAAATTCCTGCTATTATGCTCTGATGTCGTACAAGAAAATATGAGTATATACCCTCAAGTTCTTCTGGTTCTCTGACTTTTGCATTGTTAAATTTTTGAGGGGAAAAATGTTTTGAGGCAGGTAGACTACCAGTAAAAAAACCAAAGACCAACTGAGTTTCAATGAACCTAAAATTAGATTAGTGGTGATATACAATGATTAGTTTTGTAACAACCTTGAGATATACAAGACACAGATTGGTATTTCTGAAAATCCCACAAAGTCACTGAACTTTTAGCACTCAAGAAATCTTTGAATATTGGCACTTGGCTTTTTTTCACGTTTTAAGCATAAATGTTGAGGGGAAATGCCTCTCCTCTGTGGCTGTGTAGTAGCCTAATAGAACTAAGCACAAGCATGTAATTCTGCAATAATTAGAATTAATTGAGTAACAGATAGAAAATGTCTTAGGATACTTATCTGCATAGCAGTAGGTATGTGAAAATTTGTTGAGAGGATTTTTTAGATGCAGATTTTTTATTTCTGTTTCATTATATTTTTATTCTTTATATCTGGTACAGAGATAAGTAAAAAGACCTTAAGCCAAAAAGAAGTGAAACAGATTTTGCAGAGAAGGGCCATGGGCTGCAAGATTCCTGCACAGAGAGGCCACTTTGTGTAGAAAATATAAAATGTCAGATCCACAGGTTTGTGGGAGATGGTTAGAGGGGATGATGAAGGACCTGGGATGTCTCTCTAATAAGGAAAGKCTGAAAGAAATGGTGCTGTCCARTCTGGAGAAGAGAAGGYTCATCAATGCCTATAAATACTTGAAAGGTCCTTCCTACCACATTTGGAAGCAAATAAAAGGATATGTACTGAATACCATARGAGATTTGTCACAATTTAGAATTGTGCTTGCATTGATGCCAAGTCTAGCCAGAAAACAAATAAATCATCCAGCCAGTAATTTAGCCTGTGAGCTGCTTGATTTACACTCCCCACAGGTACACAAACCTTGCCCGTCCCTCTGTCAGCATGCTGTGGAGTTTTTGTCATTTCTGTAATTACAACAAAGATCACAGCAGTGACTTTGATTTGGCTGGCTTAATGGTATTTCAAGCACTGCAAGGAATGCTTAGGACAAGGATGTTTCTAAAGTATTAGGGAGAAGCAGGAAAGTCAACAAGAAAAGATAAGTGTTGATATCATTATGAAGATGCTGATAGGACTGTTTCCCCTGTCCTAAGAGCTGGAAAAGCTACAGGCTGAGGGTGAGCATCATCCTGTGCAGCACAGTCATAGAGGCAGAATCACAGCACCTGTTCTTTGTACCCTGCAGCTGTTTTAAACATGCATGAAAATTTCCTGRTGAGTACCAATAGCTCAGCTGGAGCAGACTCTTGCAAACACCTGTACTTTTACCAGGGGAAAACAATTTTAATCACTTGTCSTTGGTCATGTGCAATCTCTGCATGCATCATTACACAGAAAGGATTTTTAAAGTGCATTGTACTGCAGTTTTCAACGAAAGCCATAAACTTTCTTCTTTTGCATAAATCTTTAAGATATATACATGGGTGTACAAGCAAATGAGTAAATATATATAAGTAAATATATACATATAAACACACACAAATATATATGTGTTTCCAGAAATATCTATTGGCTTTTGCTCAACAGGTCTAATAAACAAAAGTCTAAATTTGAAAATGGATACACAGATATAGATATATACAGAGGGAAAGTGGTTCTTTTATTTAATTTTATGAAGTAAATTGTTAAATTATTTTATTGAAGAGAAATTTATATTCTGTTAAACTTAGTATGAATTATAAACAGGGACTTCTACACAAAATTTCTAGAATAGAATTGTTRTAATACAGTCATAAGAAGGATAGTTCTTTAGCAAATCATTAACTGTGTCATGTGGTTTCCATATGATTTGAGTTTTACTTTGTGTTATATCATTTAGCCCTTTAATTTCCTTGGATTGCAAGTCTTGTAAAGGTATGGATAGAAACCGGTGTATATGAAAATTTACAGCTTTTTGAAGTGGAAAAAACCTCTGCCCATGGCCAGTATTAAGGTAACTGAATTTTTTCATATAATTTTGTATGTATAGTGAGAACTGAAGGACTTGTTAATCAMATTTTATTGTTTCTGCTTTATCACAAAATAATTCTGTGGAAATACGTTATTTTTTAGAGCAGGTTTATATTTATGTTGACTGCCAGTTTACTCTTCCTGCTCCTGTTAGATCTCATACG